GCAGCACCTCCCCAGACCTGTGCACACCCCATTCGGCTTAGCAGGATCCGTCCCGGCGAGGCAGAGGCGGCAGCGGTCCCCGCCGGTGTCCCTCTCCCTGCCTGCCTCCCCTCCTCTTTCCAGGGAGCGCGGCTCTGGCTTCTCCCCCTTTGTGGGTGACTGGTCCCAGCATGTGCCGGATGGAGCATCCCTTCTGAATCTGGCCCTATTCCTCCTCCTCTGCCCGCCAGCAGCCTGATCTCCACCAGGCTTCTTTTTAAAACATCCCTTTGCCTCTTCTGCCGCCTCATGCTCCCCCTCCAAAAAAACCCCCTCCTGTTACCCCAAACCTTCTGTTGCCGGCAGCTTGGCGGTCCGGAGCTGCGTCATCCCCTTTGCCCCTTCTCCCGGAAAATTTGGGCAGCCTCTCGGGAGGAGGGGGAAAGCGTTGCTCCTAAAACCGAGCGCCCGATTGCACCCCGGGGCAGGGTTTTTTTCGGTTCCCCCGGGACCTGCTGGCATTCAGTGGAAGACAACGTTGGCAGCCCATTCCCTTTGGTGCTCCGGGCACCCGCATCTCTCTCCAACCCGGATTTCTTCTGTCTCAGCCCTTGGACAGGGGGCCGCGTCCCCGACCCGCCAGCCAGGACTCAGAGCGACGTAGCCATATGTTACAAAAAACCCCTTGCTTTTATTTTTTTGGTACTAAAAAGGAGCACTTTACCGGCAACGCTTCTTTTTTCGGGCTGGGGACGAGCGCCTCCGGGAAAGTGCTTTCTAGTGCTTTTTTTTTTTTAATCCCCCCCTTTAAAATGTGAATAATACAGGAACGAAATCCCTCGGTGCTGTTGGATGTCTCAGGAATAGCTGGGCGCCCAGGGGGGATGCGGGGTGAGGCGCCGCAGGGGTGTGATGCTGTGGTAGGGAGCATCACAGCTGCGCCCTGGGGCGCTCTGGTTGCAGCTTGCCGGCGTCGGTGCCGTCCTCCAATTGCTTTTCGCACCGGGGCTTCCCACGGCCGGGTCGTGCTGCCATGGATAAAGGGCTTCTGTGTTAAACTCCCTGCCGCCGGCAGCTTTGCCAGCCTGGCACGTCATGGCCATCCTACCTGTGCCCGGCATCTTGAAACCCCTCGGAGATAGGATTATTTTTTTTCTCCTCTCTCGGTGCGACTCTTGCCGTGAAGAGCAGTGTTTGGTGAGGGCGTGTGTGGCAGGGGATGCTGCGGCGGTGCCGTGTTCTGCCCCCCGAGCCCGCCAGCCCCCCTATTTTTTTTACTGCCTGTTGGGAGCCGTCAACAGCTTTGCAACCTTCTCAAGTGCCATTTTATCAGCCCCCACCTGAGTGCCTGCTCCATCCATCCTCCCTCCCTCGCTGGGGTCATCCCCCCCCCCCCCCCGCTCCCC